TTCCATATTTTTTGGTCAGCTGATGACATCCTTTCTTGGTTTCTACTGTGGACACTGTATTTTTTATTTTTTTATTGTGGTAAAATATACATAACATAAAATGTACCATTTTAATCATCTTTAAGTGTACTATTCAGTGGCATTAATTATACTTGCAATGCTCTGTAACCATTACCACTGCTTATTTTTTAATCTTTTCCATTATCCCAACAAAAACACTGTAGCCATTATAAGTAATAACTTCTCATTTCCCCTCCTCCCAGACTCTGGTAACCTGTAATCTACATTCTGTTTCTACAAATTTGCCTATCCCAGATATCTCATACAAGCAGACTAATTTCATATTTGTCCTGGCATTATTTCTCTTAGCCTATTTCTCTTATCACAATGTCTTCCAGGTTCATCCATATCATAGTACATTTCATAACTTCATTCCTTTTTATGTCTGAATAACAGTCCATTCTATATATACACAATATTTTGTTTATCTACTCTTCTTTGATGGACACCTGAATTCTTTCCAACTTTTGGTTATTGTAAATAATACTGCATTCACCATTGCCATACAAGTATCTGTTCAAGTTCCTTCTTTTAATTCCATTGGGTATATACCTAAGTGCAGAATTTCTAGGTCATATGGTAATTGTTTAGCTTTTGGAGGAGCCAATAAACCATTTTTTATTGGAGGAACACCATTTTACATTCCCATCAGCAATGCACAAGGATTTCAATTTCTCCAGATCCTCACCAACATTCATTATTTTTCATTTTATTGATAATAGCCACCCTAATGGGTGTGAAGTAGTATCAAATTGTGCTTTTGATTTACATTTCCCTAATGACTAGTGGTGGTAAGCATTTTTACATTTCCTTATTGGTCATTTGTGTATCAAGTAGTTTGCCCATTTTGTACCTAGGTTGTTTATTCTTGAGTTGTGGGAGTTTTTATAAATTCTTATTAATCCATTATCAGATATATGCTTTGCAAATGTTTTCTCTGCTTCAGTAGATGTCTTTTCACTCTCTTGATAGTGTCATTTGATGCATAAAAGTTGTTAATTTTGATTAGATCTAATTAAACTATTTCCCCTTTTTTGCCTGTGCTTTATAGTGTCATATCTAAGAAATTATTGCAAAATCTAATGTTGTGAGGACTGTTTCCTATTTTCTTCTAAGACTTTTACAGTTTTTGCACTTATGTTTTGTACTTTTAACCATTTTAAGTCAATTTTTGTTAAAATTCAACTTAATTATTGTGCAGATGAAGAGCTGGTTTTCTTTGGAACATTTATTGCAAAGACTGTCCTTTTTCCCCATTGAATGGATGGCATTCTTATTGAAAATCAGTTGATCATATATTTGAAGGTTTATTTCTGGACTTTATTCTATTCCATTGGTCTGTGCGTCTGTCTTTATGCTAGTCCATATTTTTTTGGTTACTGCTGCTTTGTAGTAACCTTTGAAATCAGGAAATGTGAACAAATAAGAAAATTTGCTCTTCATTTTTAAGATAATTTTGGCTAACAGGGGTCTCTTGAGGTTCCATGTAAATTTTAGGATGAATTTTCCTCGTTCTACAAAAAAAGTCACTGGAATTTTGATAAGGATTACATTGACTCCACAGATCATTTTGCATAATATTCTCATCTTAATATTAAGTCTTCCAATCCATGAATACAGGATGTCTTTGCATTTATTTCGTACTTTAATTTCTTTCATCAGTTTTTTTTACAGTTTTCTGTGTACAGGTCTTTTACCTGCTTACTTAAGTTTATTATTAAGTATTTTATTCTTTTGATGCTATTATAAATGTAACTGTTTTCTTAATTTCTTTGCTGAATTGCTTACTATAATATAAATGCAACTGAATTTTGCTTGTTGATTTTGTATCCTGAAACATTGCTAAATTTGTTTGTTCGCTCTAACAGATTTTTTTGTGAATTCTTTAGGGTTTTCCACTCAGAAGATAATATCACCTGTAAACAGAGATGATTTTACCTCTTTCTTTATGATGTGGATGCATTTTATTTCTTATCTAATTGCCCTGTCTAGATTTTCCAGTGATATGTTGAATAGAAGTGGCAAACATGAGCATCACTGTCTTCTTTCTGTCTTAAAGGAAAATATTTCAGTCTTTCACAATTTAATATGATGTTAGCTGTGGATTTGTTTTTAGCCCAGACACAGGGAAGGTGGGATCTGCTAACATTCACCATCTGTCAAATCTACCCAGAATATGTCTTCACTGGAAAGCTGGGAAGATGGGAAATGCCACTCAGTTTTCAAGCCAAGTATATCAGCGCTCTCACAACACAAAAAGTGTGCCAGAAAGGGGATTGCACTCTTCATCAACTTTCTTGCCTATTTTACAGAAGTTGGGGGTAGGGAAATGGGTGGTGGCCTGATGCTACCACTCACTTAATATAAGCCTTCTGCAACACAGAGCTGTGGAAAATAGGATCTTCCTATTTTCACCATCTGACAAAACTATCCAGAAGAGCTGTTTGACTCCAGGGAACTGGGAGATATGGGGACTGCCTGCCACTCAGCTCCCAAATTTGCTAAAACAGTTCTTCCACAAGGCAGAGTGGTAGAGATATGGGTATAATGCCTAGCTTTAATATCAAGGCCTCCTACTGTTCTTACCTATTTTCCATAGATTTTGTAGAATAAATACTAATCAATCTATTGTAAGCCCTTTGATCAATCTGAAGAATATTTGAATGATTGCCCTTGCTAATGCTGACCAGCTTAACAGTTGCTCTCCAGGGGAGATATTTCCCTAAGTACTTCACATGGCCATTTGCCTTTCACTTTTTTGATGGTGTCTTTGACACACAAAAGTTTTTAATTTTGATTAAATCAAGTTTATTACTTTAAAAATTTTCTTCAACTTTTTGCACCATATTTAAGACGGCTTTGCCTAACTTAACACAGAGATTTACTCCTCTGTTTTCTAGTTGTTATAAAGTTTCACCTCTTACAATTAGGTCTTTGATCCATTTTGAGTTAATTTTTGTGCATGGAATGAGATAGAGTTTCAAGTTATCATTATTCTTTTGGATATCCAATTGTGTCAGCACCATTTGTTGTAAATGTTATAACATGAGTCTTCTAATTCATAAACAGGATATCTTTCCATTTATTTACATATTCTTTAATTTATCTTAGCAATTTTTTTAAATTAGTTTACAAATTTTTCACTTCTTTAGTAAAATTTAGTCCTAAATATTTTATTCTTAATTACATTGTGAATGGAATTGGTCATATTTTCTTTTTAAAAAAATATTTTTATTGATTTCAGAGGGAGGAAGGGAGAGGGAGAAAAACATCAGTCGGCTGCCTCCTGCATGCTCCCTACAGGGGATCAAATGCAAAACCCGGGCATGTGCTCTGACTTGGAATTGAACGTTGGGCAACCTTTTTCTGCATAGGTCAATGCCCAACCAACTGAGCTACACTGGCCAGGGTACTTTATCCTATTAATATAATGTACTATCACCTTATTTTTGTGTTACTGGCATAAATTCCACTTGGTCCTGATATATAATATTTTTCGTATGTTGGTATAGATTCAGCTTGCTAGTATTCTGTTGAGAATTTTGTGTTTATATTTATGGTATTATTTTTTTCTTTAACTGTTTGGTAAAATTCATCATTGAAGCCATCTGATGCTGGGTTTTTCTTTGTGGAAAGATTTATAATTACTAATTCAATCTCTTTCTTAGCTAACTCTCTGATTTTGTTTTGTCCTCACAGCAAACTCTAGCTGGTATTGTTGCTGATCTGGCCCACTGTAAATGAGCTGAATATAATTTCCATTGGCTGTTAACTTATGTAGTTGAACAGGTAGAATAGTTTCTTCTGTTGGTGCTTTGGAAACCATTTCAAATATAGTCTGATTTGTAAATCATTTAATTTTAAAGAGCAGTTTTAAACTGTAACCATGCCCACTAACCTTTTTATCAGAAACCTTACAAAACTCTTCAAATAAGAATAAAAATGCTTAGTAATATTTTACTGTAATGTTTTAAAGGTTTTGCAAACTTTTCTTACTCCCTACAAAACATAGGCACTCCAAATGGAGAAACTCAACCTCTGTCCTCTGTTTACTGCAGTGCCACTTGTCTTGTTTATATTTGTCCCTCTAAATACAAGATTTCTCACTGACTATTTTTAACATGTTCTTCTCAGTGGAAATTCCGATATATGTTGGCTTCCTTTATTGAACCTGTAGATCTTGACTGACTACTGCAGGCCAGGCATTGTGCTAGGAGCTATGATAGGAAAATTTTTGGTGAGAAATCAGATTAGCTTGACATATTATACATATATTTAAAAAGTAACCCTGTAGAAAAGTATATGAAAATATAGATTAGATTCATAAACAGACTTCTGGCAGTATTAGTAATGTTTTCACAGTAATTCTGTGAATGGGCTCACAACATGGAGTACTTTGTACATATTTCATTTTGAAATGAATATATTAAAATCTCACATATGGGAGTGTGTATGTGTATGTATATATGAAGGAGGGAGAGAAAGAGATTTTATTATAATACTATAATAACTACCCAAAATATTGCTCCTTTTTTGGGAGTTTCTGTCAGTTAAATTGTTTTTTACTGATTACCAATAGATAAACAGAGGAGAAAATAATGGGATCTTACAAGTAAGCAGAAAAATATAGATACATCGAGTTTATAAAGTTCCTCAAGTCAGCCGACCAGTGTGGCTCAGCGGTTAAACATCAACCTATGATCCAGGAGATCGAGGTTCAATTCTTGGTCAGGGCACATGCCCAGGTTGCAGGCTCAATGCCCAGTAGGGGGCATGCAGGAGGCAGCTGATTAATGACTCTCTCATCATTGAAGTTTCTATGTCTCGCTCCCTCTCCCTTTCTCTCTCTGAAATTAATAAACTCATATTTTTTGAAAAGATCTTTTCAAAAAAAAGTTCTTCATGTCATCTTGTAACAAAGTTTTGATTCTTCCTTTTAGACCAGAAGATCAATTCAGAAGTTATTAGAATGGGAAAATAACAGATTATATCACAAGGTAAGAAGTTTAAGCAAAGAAATGTCCCATTTATATATTTATGTTAGTATTAATTTTTTTTAAAATGAGGATATTTTAAGCCACGAGAGAATGGATTAGAGAACTAATACTCATTTTTCAATGTATATTCTTTATGAGGTATTTTTAAATTCTATGTTGTGGAACTTGTACTTATTCATGGATTGTTTTCAGGGATTTATTCAAATATATAGGTGATATTTATTATAAATTGAATCAAATTCTTAACAAACTGTACTTTCTTAGCTTGCTTTACACTGGAAGTTGACTAAAAGAAAATGTGAAACTAGCAATATGATGGAATATGTAAGTATGCAGTTGTTTTCTAATTTAACTTTTTCGGATCCCATCTTAATTGTTACATTTTACTATATTTATCATTTGTCAAATCATCTTTCTACCTATTTTCTCCTCAGCCAGAACTTTTATCAGTTGGAACATAGAGGTTTTTTGTACCTTCTTTAGATGTGTAGCCAACATAAAATATCTTGAAAGGTAGCAATTATTCAGATCTTTTTAAAAAATCTCAGCTAGTGTGCTCAGGTGGAAATATTGCACAACTGTCCTGGTTGGTGTGGCTCAGTTGGTTGGGCATCCTCCAGTGCACCAAAAGGTTTCTAGTTTAATTACCCATCAAGGCACATGCCTGCATTGTGGGCTCAATTCCCAGGAGAAGGTGGGCAAGAGAGAGCTGATCAATGTTATGCTTTCACATCAGTGCTTTCTCTTTTCTCCCTTCCTCTTTCTCAAAAAATCAATAAACTCTTCTAAAAAAAGCAATGATTCCTGTAAAATAACTCACACAACATGATTGTGGCTGAGCCTCAGTTAGCCAACCTGAGAGGAGGGTCCTCCCATGAATGAGTCAACAACAATATAGACCTAATCAGAACAGGAGAGCCAAAGAACCCACAAAAGGAACACCCACAAAAGAGACATGCCTAGAGTATATAGCTCAGATGTATAAGGAAAGCACACCTCTGGGTCCCACTGGATATAAACTACAAAACCCCACCCCACAAGACTGGGAGACAGCACATATACCTAATAGACAGATACAAACACTAAGAGTTACTAAAATGAGGAGAAAAGAAACAACCTCCAAACTAAAGAAAAGGAAAAATTACCAGAAAAAGACCTTGATTGGGTGGAATTAAGCAAGTTATCAGAAATAGAGATCAGAGTAATGGTTATCAAGATGTTTAAGGAAACTACTGAGAACCACAAGAAACTTAATGGGAAGGTCCAGGAACTTAGTGAAATCTTCATCAGCATGAAAAAATATATAGATATGATAAATAAGAACCAGGCAGAAATGAAGAATACTATATCTAATATCAAGAGTATGCTAGAAGAAATTAACAGCAGACTTACTGAAGCAGAGGATAGAATAAGTGAATTATAAGATAAGGTTAAAAAAAAACACTCAATTGGAATAGCAAAACCAGAAAAAGCTTAAAAATCATGAGGACACTTTAAGGGAACTTTAGAACACCATGTAGTGAAACAACATTCGCATCACAGGGGTTCCAGAAGAAGAGGAAGGAGCAAGTGATAGAGAACCTAGTGGAAGAAATAATGACAGAAAACTTCCCTAAGCAGGTAAAGGAGAAAGCCACACAGGTTCAGGAAGCACAGAGGGTTCCAAACAAGAGGAACCCAAAGAGACCTACTCCAAAACACATCATAATTAAAATGACAAATGTTAAGGAAAAAGAGAGAATATTAACAGAGAGAAAAGGAATGACCTGCAAAGGAGACGCCATAAGGCTGACAGCAGATTTCTCAACAGAAACACTTCAGGCCAGAAGGGATTGGCATGAAGTTCTTAAAGTAATGAAAAGCAAGAACATGGAATCAAGATTCCTTTATCCAGCAAGGCTATCATTTAAAGTTGAAAGTGAAATAAAGAGCTTTCCAGACAAAAGGCTAAAGGAGTTCAGTACTATTAAATCTGCATTGCAAGAAATGCTAAAAGAACTGCTTTAAGAAGAAGGAATATTAAGAGAATGGTACATCAGCATAAACGTAAAACATGGCAATAAGTAAGTATATATCAATAATAACCTTAAATGTAAATGGGTTAAATGCTCCAATCAAAAGACATAGGGTACCTGAATGGATAAGAAAACAGGATCAAAATATATTATGTCTACAAGAGATCTGTTGAGAACAAAAGATTCATATAGGCTGAAAGTGAAGTAATGGAAAAAAATATTCCATACACATGGAAACAAACAAACAAAAAGCTGGAGAAGCAATACTTATTTTTAACAAAATAGACCTCAAAATAAAGACCACAACAAGAGAAAAAGAAGGTGACTACATAATACTGAAGGGATCATTCCAGCAGGAGGAAATAACCTCTATAAATATATATGCACCCAAAATAGGAGAACCTAAATATATAAAAAATTTCTTGGTGGACTTCAAGGGGAAGATTGACAGCAACACAGTCATAGTGGGGGAATTTAACACCCCATTATCATCACTGGACAGATCATTAAGACAAAAAGTCAACAGGGAAATAGAGACCTTAAATGACACACAAGTTCTAATGGATTTAATTGGCATTTACAGAACATTTCATCCCAAAACAGCAGAATACACATTCTGCTCAAGTACACATGGAACATTCTCAAAAACAGACCACAGGTTAAGGCACAAAGCAAGCCTCTACAAGTTGAAGAAGACTGAAATCATATCAAGCATCTTCTAGCATCACAGTGCCATGAAACTAGTGAATCACTATAAAATCACTATATTAACCACTATTTTAAAAAACCTCAAAAATATTCAAACACATGGAGGCTAAATAGCATGTTATTGAACAATGAAAGGGTTACCAATGAGGTCAGGGAAGAAGTCAAAAGCAGCCTCAAAAAAAAAATGAAAATGAAAAAACAACCCAAAATTTATGGTACACGGTGAAAGCAGTTCTCAGGTAAAAGTTCATAGCATTTCTAGCATATTTCCAGAAATAAGAAAAAGCTCTAATAAACCATCTAACACAACAACTAAAAGTATTAGAAAGGGAACAGCAATAAAAACTGCAAGGAAGTAGAAGGAAGAAAATAACAAAGACCAGAGGAGAAATTAATGACATAGAGACTAAAATAAGCAATACAAAATATGAATGAAACCAAGAGCTGGTTCTCTGAAAAGATAAGTAAGATTCATGAACCTTTAACCAGACTCACAGAAAAATGGAGAGGACCAAATAAATAAAATCAGAAATGAAAGAGGCGATATAACAAACCAACACAACAGAAATACAAAGGATCAACTATATGCCAACAGACTGAACAACGTGGGTGAAATTGACAAATTCGTAGACGCACACAACCTTCCAAAGCTAAATCAGGAAGAGGCAGAAAACCTGAATAGGCTGATAACAACTAATGAAATTGAAGCAGTAATCAAAAAACTCCCAGCAAACAAAAGTCCAGGACCAGATGGACTTACAGACGAGTTTCACCAAACATTAAAAGAAGAATTAACATGTATCCTGCTCAGGCTATTCCAGAAAATTCAAGCAGAGGGAAAACTCCAAAGCTTCTTATGAGGCTAGCATCATCCTAATTCCTAAACCAGATAAAGACACTACAAAGAAAAAAAATTAAAGGCCAATATTCCTGATGAGCATAGATGCTAAAATCCTCAATAAATTACTTGCAAATGGAATCTAGCAATACTTTAAAAAGATACACCACGACCAACTGGGATTTATTCCAGGGATGCCACACTGATATATTTGCAAATCAGTAAATGTGACACACCACATAAACCAAATGAAGGATAAAAATCATATGATCATATCAATACATGCAAAAAAAGCATTTGACAAAATCCAGCACCCATTTCTGATAAAAACACGCAACAAAGTGGAAATAGAGGGATCATACTTCAACATAATAAAGGCCATATGTGATACACCTACAGCCAAAATCATACTCATTGGTCAAAAACTAAAACCATTTCCCTTAAAAACAGGAATAAGACAGGGGTGTCAACTTTCACCATTCTTATTCAGCATAGTACTGGAATTCCTTGCCACAGCCTTCAGATAGAAAACATAAAAGGTATCCGAATTCTAAAGGATGAAGTAAAACTCTCATTATTTGCAGAGGACATGATATTGTACATAGAAATCTAAAGACTCCACCAAAGCACTACTAGACTTGATAATTGGATTTGGCAAAGTAGCTGGATGCAAAATTAACATCCTAAAATCAACTACATTATAATGAACTCAAAAAAGAGAAAAATTTTTTAAAATACCATTTAGCATTTACCATTGCAATTAAAAAAATAAGATACCTAGGAATAAACTTAACCAAAGATATAAGTGACCTGTACTGAAAAAACTACAGGACACTGAAAAAAGACATAGAGGAAGATATAAATGAGTGGAAGAATACACCATATTCATGGAATGGTAGAACTAATATCATTAAAATGTAAATACTACTCAAAGTAATTTTGGTTTCAATGCAATTCCTAGTAAAATACCAACACCATATTTCACAGAGTTAGAATAAATATTCCAAAAATTTATTTGGAACCAAAAAAGACCTTGAATAGCTCCACAAATCGTGAGAAAGAACAGAGTTGGAGGAATGACTTTACCGGATATCAAACTATACTACAAAGCCATTGTAATCAAAACAGCCTGGTATTGGTACAACCGCAGACATATAGATCAGTGGAATGGAACAGAGACACCTGAAATAGACTCACATACTTATGGTGATTTAATATTTGACACAGGATGCAAGAGCATACAATGGAGTAAAGACAGTGCCTTCAATAAATGGTGTTGGGAAAATTGGACAGGTACATGCAAAAAAATTAAACTAGATCACCAATTTACTCCAAACACAAGAATAAATTCAAAATGGATAAAAGACTTAAATGTAAGTTGTGAAACTATAAAAATCCCAGAAGAAAACATGGGCAGTAAAGTCATGGACATCTCACGTAGTGGAATTTTCACCTATAGGTTTCCAAGGGGAAGAGAAACTAAAGAAAAAATAAACAAATGGGACTACTTCAAACTAAAAAGCTTTTGCACAGCAAAAGAAATCAGCCTCAAAATACAAAGAAACCTCATGGTATTTTAGAACATATTTGCCAAGGTTTTATCTGATAAGGGGCTAGTTTCCAAAGTGTACAAAGAACTCATACAATTGAAGAAGAGGAAGACAAACAATCCAGTTAAAAAATGGGCAAGTTACCTAAATAGACACTTCTCCAAAGAGGACATACGGATGGTCAAGAGACACATGAGAAAATACTCCACATCG